GGTTTGAAAACAAAAACAGAAGCACATTACTAATTATTATGCAGAATGACGCAATATGTTTTTCCTTCTAGGGTGAAGGCATAAACCGCCCCACTCTACCTCTGATTGGCCTAACACTACCCGATCTCACTCCTTAATGTCTAACCCCAACCAACGAAGGCACGAGTACTAGCCAACCAGAGGCAGAGTAGGGCGGGTCATGCCTTTGCTTTAGTGGCATTGACATTTGTGGCAACACAGGGGACGTGGAGGCAAGATTCAGGAATAAAACAGGAGACTCAGAGACAGTAACCACGTAACAAAAAGTGTCCTTTAATAAACAGGTTAGGGTAAAGGAGAATGGGGTCAAACTTAACAAAAGATTCCTCCCGGTCGGGGTCTTTGGCCTTCGGTCTACACCCAGTGTGAGACGAGTCCTCCGTCCTGTTTGGGCGTACTCGGAGGAGAGAGGTGAGTCTGCTGAATTACCTCCGGTCTGATGCAGCTCCTCTCAAGAGGTTCAGGAGATCCTCGTAGTCTTCTGACCAGTCTGTCTGCCGCTGCTTCCCAGCTCAGTGAACATATGCTCACTCTAGTTACCTGATGGGCTGCAGGTGTGACCAATGCCACGTGCCTAGTGGCTGCAGCGCCTGCACTGGATAGTAGACTCCCTCTATCACCTCCCCCAACCTGAGCTTGGGGATCTGCCCCCTGTGTTGAGTCAACTCGGCTTTTCCCCCTGGTTTGCCACACATTATTCTGCAATATAATTAGCCATGTGCTCACACAACTACACAACCCAACATTTACACCCTGCTACAGAACCCGTCACACATGCACTCACTAGAACCTGACACGCAGCCCTTGGCTCGGCTTCTTCTTATTGCCGTCCTGGTATCGAAGAAGAGGAGAGACGATGTCCTGCTTCAATCCAGGTTTTCACGGAAGGCACTGGACCAAATTTATCCAAAGGGGGTCCAATTAGGTCCACAAAGAGACATGAAGACAGGCAGTTTGTAAAAGAAAAACTTCTGCGCTTTAGTAAGCTTTTAAAATACATTTTAGTGAGAATTGCAAATGACAAATAATTGTCCTTTTGATTTTAAAGACCCCCTGACATTTTGCAATTAATGCTTTTAGGGGGTCTGAAGTCTCAATCAAAGTCCGAGACCCCCCGTGTTTCACACACTGGGTAACGGGCTTACACACAAATAGGCTTTTGGTCCAATGGGACATTTTCAGAACTATTGGGGTTTCAGAATAAGGGGCTGCTGGAGTCCCCCTCAACACAGAAGGGAGATGTGTCCCCTAGTGTGGAGAATTTCAGTATTAAACGCATTATTAGTAGGATTTAATAACACCCCTAGTGGTGAGTAGAAGTGTTACAATAATAAATATGTTAGTCACAATATGTTTCCATATGGAATGTATTATAGGTTTACAATATTCTTACTTAGAGGATATTATATGTTACAGTATATTAACTCATTGAATGTATTAAATCATAGAAGTATAGTCACTGTAGGTATTAAAACATTAAGAATCGTTTTGAGGGTCAGATAGGGTTTCTGAGTGAGGTGTCAGACATGCAGCAGCAAATGGAGGCGACCTCATCGATGGAGGATGGGGCCAGTGGGACGGTCAAATGCCAAGCTGACCAGCAGGACAGAGAGGAGGAGTCCAAGATGTTTTGCGAAGAGCCAAGATGTTTTGCTGAAGGATCGATAATGGGAGGGGACAGAATTCAAATGAAGCCAATCACTAATTGCCACGGAGGGTCATTCACGCGTTTTATGACAGTATCGGACACTTTCCGACTCTCAGGGGATACAAAAGACAATGTTTTAGGGAGTTTACCTCAGATCACTGCAGCTCTCATTTTCAGCTAACTGGCCGCGCCGGACTGTGAGGAGATGCGTGCGTGTATGTGGTCTCTGCTCTCGAGAACATTACTATTGATAGTTAATTCAGTTTGTAAGTGAACTTTGTGTAGTACATTAAATATTGTTTTAATTTGAACCGGATCTAGCTCATTCTTCTGATGCGCGTGCGCAGTAAGAAGCTCGCAGCAGAAGAGTACCTGCGGCCTGCAGGCTTCTTCATCCTTTGTTCTAACCTTAACACTAGCTTTGTCAAATAGAAAATACTCCTTCAATGTGTTACTACATTTCTATTTGTAAACCTTCTAAGTAAATTAAGATATGTAAATGAGACCGCTTTGGAGTTGGTTCCACAAAGCTGTTAGCATTGCTTCCACTGATCTAATCTTTATGCTATGTTAATCTGAACATGTACTGGACATATCTCTAGATGCAAATTGATCCTCTCATCTAAATCTGGGTTTGACAGCAGTCATGTTTCCCGAAACTGTCAGACTGTAATTACCAGGTTAATTTTGAGACATTAGTGTAATTACTGTAAAACAGATGTGGAAGCACAAGGAGCTCTGGAAAGCCAGTTCTCTATTTTTAGAAATGTACCTGCAGGCTCGTTCTTTTTCTCCCTTCTCTATGAGCCATTAATCAAGCTGTCCTCCTCAGTGACGGGCCCATTAAAGGAGAAGCAGATAGCGTACGTGTGCAGAGAAACCCTCCAGGTAAGAATCTTTTTGTGTGAGAGGCAGCTTGTTGCTGTCGCATCGTGAACTCTCTAAAGATACTCTGCTGACAGAGTGACTCATGTGTTTTTTCCCAACCACAGAAGAGCTAAATAGTATTTAACCTCGCCAGACCGCTTAAATATACTGTAGAGGTAAACAGAGGGCGAGGCGGTCTGTAGTTTGTTAGTGAGTGACTTTCAGCTCACAGCATGCATTTATTGGATAATCAGGTTTGTAGACAACAAAAAGATCAGAATTTAAAAAAGGACTTGCTTAACAACTTACAAAAATATTTTTCTTAAGCACTCTTAGTATATCCATTTTATCTGAATAATCTGATGATTATGAGTGATGACAGAGCTACACTGCCTCTGCAATCTAACTTGATATACAAGCATTCTTGTGTAACTTTGACTTTCCTTTCTTGGAAACTCTGTGCCATCGCCCTGTTTCACTTTTCATTCAACATGTTATTTTGTTTTACAGTGTTCACCGCTATACATTATTATATTACATTATTTCAACTAAGATTAGGTTTTTTGGGTTACTCCTGGTTAAACCGAATTGATATAAAGTTGTGGTTTATTATTTAATTAGTAAAAGACGCGCACCTGATTTTCATTCTTTGCTTTCCCCAGGGTTTGTATCACCTGCACGAAACTGGCAAAATGCACAGAGACATAAAGGTACAGCAGCTTTTTTTCAAAAATAAATCTTTGTCAAGTTGTTACAGTACAGTTGTGATCATATCTTCTTCCCCAAGGTTCAATACTGGGGCCTCTTCTGTTCAACATCTACATGCTTCCATTAGCTCAGATTATGGAAAACAACAAAGTGTGTTATCATAATTATGCAGACGACACACAAATCTACATAACTATGTCACCAGCGGACTATAATCCCATACAAGGGCTGGGTAACTGCATTGAACAATTTTCTTCAATTAAACAAAGATAAAACAGAAGTAATTGTTTTTGGTACCAAGGACGAACGATTGAAAATCACCGCTCAGCTTCAATCACTGATGTTAAAACCCACAAACAAGCCAGAAATCTGGGTGTAGTTATGGATTCAGACCTCAACCTGAACAGCCTCATCAAGACAATTACAAAATCAGCCTACTATCACCTGAAGAATATATCAAGGATTAGAGGACTTATGTCTCAACAGGATTTGGAAAAACTTGTCCATGCATTCATCTTCAGTAGACTGGACTACTGTAACGGTGTGTTTACAGGTCTCTGTAAAAAGTCTGTCAGAAAGCTGCAGCTGATTCAGAACACTGCAGCTCGAGTCCTCACTAAGACCAGGAGGGTGGATCACATCACTCCAGTTCTGAGGTCTTTGCACTGGCTTCCTGTCAAACAAAGAATTGACTTTAAAATCCTGCTGTTGGTTTACAAAGCACTGAATGGTTTAGGGCCAACATACATCTCTGATCTGCTGCTACCTTATGAACCATCCCGACCCCTTAGGTCGTCTGGGACCGGTCTACTTTCTGTTCCCAGAGTCAGAACTAAACATGGAGAGGCAGCGTTCAGTTTCTCTGCTCCACATATCTGGAACAAAGTCCCAGAAAGCTGCAGGTCTGCTGAGACCCTCAGCTCGTTTAAATCAAGATTGAAGACTTTTCTGTTTGCTGCTGCCTTTAATTAAACCACATTCAATTAATATATTAATCAATTTCCTGCATTTCTGCATTTAACTACTGTATTTTATTTCTTACTGTTTTTTTTTGATATTAATCAATTTCCAAATACTGCTGATTGAAAACACGACATTTAGTGATGTTACGTTACGATGTCTGAAAAGTCCTGGTAAACCGATAAAAAGTGTCATTGAAAGACCTCAGAGAGGCCGGGTTAGAGTCCTGAGACGGGGTTAGAGTCCCGCGTCGAGACGGGGTTAGAGTCCCACGTCCAATTGTCCGGGTTAGAGTCCCGAGGTGGGGTTGAAGTCCCACGCTAAATAAGACCTCAGGGAGGCCGGGTTAGTGTTTCAATGACTGTTTTTATTGTTTCAATGTATGTTCTTAATTGTTTTTAAATCTCTTTTCCCTTATGTTTTGATGCTTTTAATGGTTTTATGTGAAGCACTTTGAATTACCTTGTTGTTGAAATGTGCTATACAAATAAACGTGCCTTGCCTTGTTATACTGGGGGTTCATCATGTGAACACGAGCTTAGATCGGTGTGTGTTCTCTCTCTGCAGGGAGCCAACATCCTTTTGACAGAGAGAGGAGATGTGAAACTGGGTCAGTGGTGATGGGCACACACACACTCACTCACGTGCACATCTGCGTTACCTCTTTAACTACTCTTGAAGTGTGCTTAACTAGGCCGGCCATGATGGATGATAGCCGCTCAGCTCCAGTGTGACCCTGCCTGTGTCTTCTCTTCTAGCTGACTTTGGAGTGGCAGCAGAGATCAGTGCCTCCGTAGCCAAAAGGAAGTCTTTTATAGGAACTCCCTACTGGTAAGACGGACGAAGCCACCTGCCCTCACCTGTCTGTAAAAACAAAGTCATTACAAGAGTACTCACCCATGTAATAACTCACTTTCCTCTTTTTATTCTCTGGCAATAACAAAAACAAGATTTTCAAAAATGTACGCAATAGATGGAAACACTTTTATCATTACACTTGGTTCATTATAAAACCATGGTTACTACACTACCCACAATGCAAAATGTTTTGCCAATTTCACATAATGTGGTGAGACTCCCTGCAGTAAGTGCCACTGTGATGTTGACCTGAAAATTATAGTCAGAAAAGTTTGAAACAAGTAAATGTGGACGATTTAAATAGACGTGAATGTGGTATTATGACCTCCGTGGTTGACAAAGGTGTTGATTGATCATGTTCTTACCCAGTAAAAGTAGCGAGTACCACCAACATGTTCCTGGGCTTGTTGTGTGGTCATCTCCCCATTCATCTGCTCCTTAGTTAAAGCTTAGTCTGAAGTATTGCAAAATAAAAACCAAAGTGGCCTTTTGAGGCTGCCTTGAGGAATTCCACAATTTGTATTATATTTCCATTTCCATTGTTGTTTAAAAACACATCAATGAGCCACACTGGGTGACACGTTCCTTCATTAGTATGAAGACACACACTGTAGTTCATTTTGAGTCAATCATACACAGTCCTGCTGCCAAAAATACTCAGCAAGCACCAAATGTGGATTAATCGGCCGCTGAAAATAGCCCATAAAAAAAAAATGCATATTTTTTTCTGTTTGTTTCACGTTTGCAAAAAAATATTTTAAGCCAGCTGTTTTAGGAAGTTACTGAGGCTTTAAAAAAATCTTTTTAACTAATCTCAATTAATATGAGAAAGTTAACATGTAACCAAAATGTGTCATATTTGGACAACAATGGTAAGTTCATTTTGAAGCATCAATTAAAATGCCAATGTCCTTTTCAGTGTTTTATCTGATATTCCTCTCCTCTTCTTCTGTCCCCTTTGTGCAGGATGGCTCCGGAGGTGGCTGCAGTCGAGAAGAAGGGTGGCTACAACCACCTGTGTGACATCTGGGCCGTCGGCATCACCGCCATCGAGCTGGCGGAGCTCCAGCCTCCCATGTTTGACCTCCACCCAATGAGGTGAGTCAGCAGCAGGGACTTCAGCTCCAACAACTGCAAACAGACAGTTGTATCATAACTCTTGTTATGTAACAGCTTGGCTGCCTGCTGTGTATTGTGTTCCTGGACAGTCACTGCATGTAAATATTGAAGACATTTTTCCAGCCCAGTGACACTTCAAACAATGTTTCAGAGCGCTGATGTTGATGTCCAAGAGCAGCTTCCAGCCTCCAAGAGTAAAGGATAAAACCAAATGGTGAGTTTAACTGTCTGTGTTCAGCATGTATTGGGACCAATTGTTTTCCAATCTCATCAATATCTTCTTGAGGTACAATTCGTTCACGCTCTGTTGCTCTCTGCAGGTCGGCAGGTTTCCAAAGCTTTGTGAAGATGTCTCTCATTAAAAGCCCTCGTAAACGGCCCTCAGCTGAGACGCTGCTGCAGGTCAGTTACTCTTTTCAGCTTGCCATTAACAAGTCACCTGTCTCCATACATAAATGGCATTTTAACCCTTACGTATTCAGAGATTGATTCTCTTTATGATGACACACGATAAAGCTAGGCGATGTTGCACAGGTGTTATTTTTACCTCATAATCCCATATTTAAAGGAGCAATATACGATTTTCAGAGCATTAACATAGCAGCAAAGAACTGTTTGCTATGTAAAGACGTCGCCATGTTATCTTGTATTATGCATATTTTGCATGACTTTACAGACAAGAAAAAGATGTTAAAAAAAGCTTTTAAAAATGTTGCCGATATTTTTCTCTTTTCCCTTTGGAGACACTTCAAAACAACTTGATTTGTGTCTGGATTTCCTCCCATAATTACATTTATCTTCAATACATGTATGCAATATGGCCCAGCAAGATTTTTTGTCAATAGCTTTGTTATTTCTTAATTATAAACAACCTTTATTTTGATCTGGGCCTCTCTCCAATGCAACCTCAGTTTAGACTTTTTTTTTTTTTAGAGATGGGATTCAAATACAGTTCATTCAAACTAATGTTAAGTATAAACAGCAGAGGACAATTTAACACAGGCAGTCAAATGTATTGAATTTAACAGTAACAGATAGAAGCTCTGTGTCTTATCCTTAAACTACAGTCTGTCTGATCAATGATCACGTTAGTGTTTTGTGAAGACATACGGTTGCCTGAGGTTACAGCTGATGGCATTCCTGTTCATCTTTTCAGTAACTTTTGGTTTTACAACTGTTGGATGTTCGGTAGACAAAACAATGACTTGAAGTAATCATAAAAGAGGTCTGGAACCAGCCTAACAATGTCCTTCCAAAGACTGAAATTCTGACGATTAGGAGGCCAGTCAGTGTGGATCTGACATCATCGTGCATGGTTTTTTGTAACTGTTCAAGTTCATGATCTGTAACTTGTTCCTCCAGCATCCGTTCGTGACACAGCTCCTGACCCGCAACCTGGTCATTGAGCTGCTGGACATGGCCAACAACCCTGAGCTCCACACAGGCCACACGCACAGCATGGACGACAGCGAGCTGGAGGTCAGTACTGCGAGGAGGGGGAAAGGACTTTAAAGCAGTGTAACTATAACGTGACTCCTGAACCGAATGTCTGTTCTGTGTGCTCACAACAAACAAGCTGCAGGATGGAGAAAGTCCCATTCAGTGTTTCATCTAATTGATCTGTTGACAGGTTGGGGAAGTGGCTCCTGACAAGATTCAGTCAGCAGGGAAACACCTGCCTATAGAGAGGACCCTGTCTGAAGAACAATGTGAGGACACACACACACACACACACAGACTTTAAAGGAACGCTCTGACATTTTGAGTTGTTTAGTTAGTGTAAATGAGACGAAAAAAAGTTCCACCAAGTGGTTCTACACTTAGCCACACTATACTTTGTATTCAGAGCTGATAAGCTAATGCACTGTTAGCATGCTAACAAACTAAACTAAGATGGTAAACATTATACCTACTGAACATCAAGCATGCTAGCCTTATCACTGTGAGCATGTTAGCTTGTTGGTGTTGGCATGTAACTCAAAGCATCGCTGTGCCAGCTACAACCTTACAGAGCCGCTAGCATGGCTTAAGTCTCCCCATGCTTCCGGTCTTTATGCTAAGCTAAGCTAATAACATTGTGATAAACATAGCCTCAAAAAGGGGGCACCAATATGTTGGGAATAACATAGCCTGACATGGGTTATCAGCAATATGTTGGGAACGTAAAGGAGCGTGTTTGGGTTATCAGCATCTAAGAAACTAAATTCTTGACATCAATAGAATTATTAATGTCAGTTACAATTATTAATAATAACGGGGCACCACCCTGCGAACAGGGACCAATAACCAAACGATAAACTAAGTCTCATAATTAGTGTTCACTCACAATGTCAACAGTCTGAGTACTATCACACATTCAGAGTGAAAGTGAAGGTTTAAGTTCGAGCACAGACCACATATACAGCTATTATCACAATACACATGCACAAAGTAATCACAGACAGCTGCTCTTTAAAATATAACAGTTTATTACGTTCTAATACTAATGATCTAGTCAACTAATATCTAAACTAACAACAACTATACATTTATGAGCACGCCATCTAAAATCAACAGACGATTGAAAGGGGGGGGGGGGGGGGGGGGGGGG